GAGCAAATCAAATTGCCATCAAGACCAAAACACTGTACCCAGGATATGACTTTGACAATTTGCCCATTTTGCATGACTTGGCCATAGTGGAGCTCAGTAGCATCATCAATTTCGGATCCAAGTTGAATGCTATCAGCATCAGGCAGGAAAATAGCTGTTGTCTCACAGCACTAACTACCACTTATCAAGGGCAGACTCTCAAGGTTGATGGCTATGGTCTGGATCAGAATGTGAATATCACCAGTCAAGGTACTGCATGTGTCTCAGTCTCAGTTTTTAAATTTGCTATTTTCACCATTTTGATAAGGTGGATGATGGTGACAGATTTTTTTTTATAATTTATACATAAGCTTTCTAAGTATAAACATCTATGCATCAAATTCAAAACTCATTTTATTCCAATGGATAACATAATGGTTTAGCTAATAATTATTCAAGGTTTGGGAAAATCACACATTTTAATAAAAATTTTAATGAAATAAGTGTTGAGTCATATGCAATTTTTAGAATTTTAATCCAGGGCAAAAATCAATCATCAGATAAATCCATGAATCAGAGCAGAATTTCAAGATTTTTAAAAGCCTATCTATTTTTTAATTAGAGATGCAGGTTTGAAACATGTGTGGTTGTTACAGCTCATAACATGTATAAGTTTAAAATACAATTAAATTGTGTTTTTCTCTTCAAAGATCCCATAGCTCTTGCAACATCTTTGGCAAAGCCACTGATTCAGACCAGACTGAAAACTTACTCATCAGTGGCTCTATCTGACACTGACTGCTCCAGCAAAATTGCCAGCGTTGCCAACCTTGGAACTGGGACACCTTTTGACTCAGCACTGTTGGTAGGAGGTAATCAAGTTATCATCCACATTGTGCAGCTCAGTTTCTCAGGAATTTTTCTTATTTTTGTTCAACAGTCACCAACCAGATGATCTGCTTGAACTCAGTTTCTGGATCTGGAGCATGCTTTGTAAGAAATTCATAATATTTGATGGTTGCTAAGTAGTATGAACATGGTGCTTTTTTTAATGGTTGCAGATTGATAATGGTGGACCAATGATCAACTCAGAAGGAAAATTGGTTGGGGTTTTGGGGCTGCTGCTCAATTGTGGAGACCCTGCTTCAGTCACTGTTGGCAATGAACTCTCTGGAGAACACCTCATTTGGGTCAAACAACAAACTGGCCTTTGAAAGGAATTCAAAAAATGTTATTTATGAGAAGAATGATTGGATGTGTTCGTTTGAAAAACACCTGTTGGTGAAATATAGATGAGAACATTGGCCAAAATTCCTGAATGAGTCAATTTTTTTTTGTTGCAAAAATGTATTCTACTAAATGGAGACAATTTTCAAGGACAATAAGAGAACATTAGCGATTAGAAGATGTGCTAATTATTTTTACATTATTTTAATTTCAAAATAAAAACACACTGCAAAGGAATGGACTGCTTGAACATAGAGTGAAACGCTATGGCATGAACATGTTTTAGACTGACATGGAAAAACAATTTGAAAATCTTCAGCAAATGAAAACATGACCTCTGAGATCCTTGGAACTTTTCTTATCTGCCTTTTCACCAGATGATTAGCAAAACACTGGCATTGTATATTTTCATTCATAGCTTTGGAAGACAGACTTTGTTTTGAAGATTTTCTTTTAAAACTTTTTAATTCAATACCAATTCAAATTAAAGAATAATACCTTGAAGAAGGATCTGTAGTCCTAACTAATTAAGTTAAAATATACTATGATAAAGTGATGTACCAAATATATTCCCAGTCAAACATTAGTCACATATACTATATATATTTTATTTATTTATTTATTTATTGCCTGAGCAGCAGTTCATTTGAAAAACATATCAGTACACATCCTAGATTTGAGCAAATATATAGATATATATTCATTTATTACCTGAGGAGGAAATCAATTTTATAATTCAACATTTTCAAACGGTTTGAGAAAAAATTGCAAGAAATGAACACAAACATTTTATGTTCAGAAAATTCAAATTCAAATTAAAACTTCAGCATAGTGACACAACATTGTGAAAAGTTTGCCCTCAGTAAGTAAAAATTGGAACCGGGTTCCAGCTTCAAATATTCCCTTTTTCAAAATTTTTAACGATTACTGTATTGTTTGAAATCATCTGTTGGATTTCAATATTTTCCAATTTTTTAGAAAATCAAATAAAAATAGAGGAAATAGACCACAAGTTTTGAATGCCTGCAGTGATCATTTTAGTGGGACTCAATTCACTAAAAATTTGTGAAACAGATCATAAATAAAACAGTTAATCTAATGCAAGGGCCTCATGCATTATTTTACCAAGATAATTGTGGTGCCCCAAAATTTGAACCCAATCTGTTGCCAGGTAAGGGTAAAATTTAAAAGTGGTTGAATTGAGAGACAATTTGATGTTGAAAACATTGAATTTGACATTTTGAGTCCTTCTGCAGGTCAAATTGCAGGGCAAGGGGTCAAATTGCAAGTTGATGTCCCAGCAAATTTGACCATCAAATTGCAGGACATTTATTTGCAAGGTACAACCTGCATCAGCAGAAAATTCACAATTTTCCTCAAGCCGGGAAATGGTTTTCAAGCAATAATCTCACACAAGGGTGAGCAGCAGTAGAGAAAAAAAAACACTTTTGAAAACCTGAGTCCCCCAACCAACTTTTCCCCCCTCTGTAGAAGTTACTTACATAAAAAAACAAAAGCTCTTTCACCTGGCAAACTGTGAAAACAGGGGGGGGGGGGNATAAAAAAACAAAAGCTCTTTCACCTGGCAAACTGTGAAAACAGGGGGGGGGGGGGAGGGGAAACCTATTGTTTGTGGCGGCAGCTCAGACAGATTTCTTACAGTTCTTCACTTGCTCCAAGTGGAGGGAAAACTATTGGTGTCAGTGATAAAATTCAGGGAATGTTTCTTTTCCTCTGTTTCCAAGTATAGTGTGTCTGTTCAGGTACCATAAAAGTTTTACATTAAATAAAAGCCTATTATTATCTTCAAAGGGCTCAAATGTTGTGAAGAGATTCAAGAAAAGCATATAGAAAGGTGATACTGAAATTCGACGAACAACAAAACTAATTATGATATGCTAAAAATTAATAATTTCACAGTGAAAAAGTATAGTCAGCATATTCAGAACACTCACACTTCGTGTTTTATTCTTGTCTCAAAGCTTTTCAGTCGCTACTTCAAACATTAAAAAAAGATACAATGGTATAATTTCTATATTTGAAAGATTAATTCAACCACATGAAATACAACATTCTTCAGCATTTCAATGGATAAATTTAAAAGTTATTCTTGCTGAATATAGAAGATATATCAATTCCTGAATCTGAAAAATTGAAAAAAGAACTCTAGGTGAAGATTGATTTCTTTGTCAAAATTAATTTATATTTTTATAATGATTCTGCATCATCCCTCAAATTTACTTTGGATATAAAAAATCTGATTTATTCGATGTTGATTATTTTTTTTCAGTTAATTATTAGTTTATAAGTAAAAAGTTCAGAGAAACCCCCACAAGGCCAGTTTTATTTTCAACTTCAGATTAATTCACTTCAAGGATTTGAAAACTAAATATTTGCACAGGAACATTTTCAGACCAAGAAAAAGACGCCATTGAAATATTTTTGTTCAGTGAATGAGTTTTCAAAAAAGAATGAAAGAGGGAAAGTCCATTTGTAAAATTTCAAAATTATGGAGTGAAAAAAATAACTCAACGCTAATAATTTAACCAAAACTTTTTTTGCCAGCAATTTTAAAGATCGTTTTCATGTCTTGATAAAATTAGAAGTGGGGGAAATTTTAATATCCCAGTATTTTTTTTCAACACCTGCATTGTTTCTAAGTTTTCTCAGGTTGAACAAAAAATATGGAGGATAAAAAATGCAGTTCATTGATTTTCTATGGTATCCTGATTTTACTGCTGTGTGAACAGGCTGTTTCTCAATCAAATTTCATAGACCTCATAGGTGAGTTGTGCAAATCAAAATTTTATTCAAGGTTTAAGTTGATAAATACTAATTTTTTTTCCAAACAGTTGAGGCAGCTACAAAATGTGAACAGGCTGTTTCTCAATCAAATTTCATAGACCTCATAGGTGAGTTGTGCAAATCAAAATTTTATTCAAGGTTTAAGTTAATAAATACTAATTTTTTTTCCAAAAAGTTGAGGCAGCTACAAACTGGGTTCAGACTTTATTCAGTCTAAACAGAGGCCCAGAAAGGATCATGGGAGGGTCAACCATCACATTCAGAACTAAATCCCCTTATTCAGCATACATAGCCATTCAACCCATAGATTTCATCATCCTCAACAAGTACATCAGGTTCCCACTCTGCACAGCATCCATTCTCACCACCACAAAACTCATCACTGGAGCATCCTGCTTCAAGGTTTTTGAAAGCATGTCAAGGTACAAATTCAAACATCATTTTCTATGCTAATCAGAGTGACATTGTGCCCATTATGTTGGAATTTGCATCCATGCAGGGTAGCTGTGATAGGAGCCCTGAAGGCACTCAATACAGAGTTGGGAACTCTTCAAATGGAAATCAAGGACACCAAGATGTATCCAGGCTATGACTTTGACAAAATGCCATTGCTGCATGACTTGGCCATTGTGGAGATTTACAGGACCATCAACTTTGGGATAAAATGGAATGCCATCACCCTCAGGCAAGACAATAACTGTTGTCTCAATTCAGCAACTACAACTTATGAAGGGGAGACCCTCATGGTTCATGGATATGGTCTGGGACAGAATGTCAACATCACAAACCAAGGCTAGTCTTCCATAACTCATAAAAAAAATTACATGCATTTATAAATTAAAAAAAAAACATCTGGTTTTATGTGCTCTTATATAAATGTAGACCCAATGGCCTTGGCAAGTTCATTGGCCATACCATTGATCCAGAGCAGACTGAAAAGTTACAGTGAAGTTGCTTTGTCTGACACCAGCTGTTCCAGCAAAATAGCCAGTGTTGCCAATCTAGGAACTGGTACTGGATTTGATTCAGCTCTCTTGGCAGGAGGTAAACATTCATTTCTCAGAATTACTAAAGACAGCACAATCATCCAATATAATTTTTTTCCAGTAAGTAACCAGCTGATCTGCTTGTCTCCAACTTCTGGATCAGGCCCATGCTTTGTAAGTAATGTACTGTAAACCTAATAGTTTAAAGTACTGATTAATGAAATGATTTTGATGTTGCAGATGGACAATGGGGCACCCATGATGAACTCAGCAGGGCAATTGGTTGGAGTTCTGAGCCTCTTGCTCAATTGTGGAGACCCTGAGTCACTGACAGTTGGGAATGAACTTTCTGGAGATCATTTGACCTGGGTTAAACAACAAACTGGTCTCTGAGCTTCAATGTGAATTCATTCAGCCTTTTTGAAGGGTCCAGAAATAAAGGGCTTTATTGAAAGCAACAGCACAAAGATTAAATTATATATAGAGAGAGGCAGTTTAAAGTAGTTATGCCTCTAGATTAGCATGATCCTTGTCATGCACATCAAAAAGCTTGACAATTTCAGGAATCTCATCAGCAGTGATTCCTTCTTGGAGAACTCTCCTGGCCAAAGGCATTCTGCTGAAAATGTTCCACAAGACTATCCCAACCACTCTGTCATCCTTGGTGTAGAAAACCACACCCTTTTTGTACTCAGGCTGTTTGGAAGGGGTTCCATCAGAAGCCTGGAGAGCAGCTGCACTTGAAGCATCATCAAAATAGGGCCTCAAATGAAGCTGCTGCTTGGATGGCAACCCCAGACCATGGCTTTTGTTCTTCACTTTGCTTGTCTTACTGTGAGCATGAACACCTTCTTGGTCCTCAGACCTCATATTAGTGTTTAACTTGGCTTTCAGGACACCTGGTTCTGTTTGCTTGGCAAAAATGCCAATGGTTGGCAGTCTGGAGTCCACTAGACCCACAGCTTCAAAACCAACTTCTGGGCCAAGGTCAGACCAGATCATAGACTGGTGTTTATAGTGTTTGGAGGCACCTGTCATGTTTTCCCCAGCAAGTCTACCAGAAACAACTGCATGGTCATGGTGTTCAACCCTTCTTCTGCCAAGCAGAGGGTCATAGAAACAACTGGCATCCCCAGCTACCCAGAGGTTGGTTCTAGCAAGGAATTCACTATTGACTATGTAGCCACCAAACTGGTCATCCACCTCCAAGTGTGACTTTTGACCAATGTCCACATTGGGTTGGAGTCCAACACATGTGACAACAAAGTCCACTGGTAAGTTGGAGCCATCACTGAGTTGCAAAAGCAGACCTTTGTCTCCCTTGGCTGGTGCAGCATCTAAAATCTACCATAATGGGAGTTTCTTAAAGAACAGTGCCAAGTGGTGGTGGACCATACAGACCAGTGTTCCCAACCTTTCTGGGCCCACAGACCAGCAAATATCCATAACATGTTTGACTGACTGAAATTCCCAAAAAATTCCTGCAGACTGGCAAATTTAATTTAATCTAACTGTTGCAGACATCAACAAGGCTTGCTTGAAAGACTTTATGGCATGTACAGTGGCCCCCTGCCTAACAGACCTCCCGTGTAAGGGATTTTTGTAAACAGACCAGCTCTGCAAGCAGTTTTTCCTCCCGCCCAACAGACAAAATCCGCCAAACAGACTTCTCTAAGTTTAAAATTATGGTTGAAAATTGAAATTTTTAATTTTTTATGTAATTGAATTCGTGTAAAGGACTTTTTATCTAACAGACTCGTCCCTTGCACAAATCAAGTCCGTTAGATGGGGGTTGACTGTATTTAATAAGTTTCTGCTATTTTGCCAAAATTAAGTGAAGCAAATGCGCAGTGGATTGTCTTCAAAAATTTAAAAAGGTGGGCAAGCAGTTTCCTTAGAAAAAATTAAAATAATTCCAAAATTTCACATGAAGATAAAAGACAAAATGCTAATTTTAAGTTTTAAGCTAAAGAAAAAATCCCATGGACTGGCAAAAAAAAAACTAGAAATGGTCCATGGACCACAGGTTGGGGAACACTGATGTATACTCTGTAAGGTATTTACCTCTGTTTCAGGTACCACACTGACACCACACTCCTCCACCTTCTGCATGGACCAATCACTCAAGTAACCAGGAAGAACTGACCTCAGATTGCCTTCCTCCTTGAAAATCTGACACACATTGACACCAATCTGCTCTCCAACTCTGCCCAGGGCACAGGCCAGTTCTGAACCCAGGAAACCCCCTCCAACTATGGCCACAGAGCGCACCTTCTTCATGACATTCACCAAGTGCTCAAAGTCATCCAGGTTTCTGAAAACCATAGAGCGCTTCTTCACTTCTGCACTCTGCTTGGCAGCTTTCTCAAGGACTGGGAGGTTCCTGGGTTTGCCCCCAGGGGCCAGCAGGCATTTGCTGTATTGGATCTCAGAGCCATTGTCAAGATGCACCTTCCTGTTCTCAGAAATCAATTTTCACCACCTGTAAAAAAAATCAACATTCAGTACAAACAAAAACCCTTCCCAGTTGCTAAATAAAAAAAATAATATGTATATATATACCTTGACACCAGTGACAAGACTGACCCCACCATTAGGTCTGTCCATCAGGTCCTCATAAGGCACATAGAATTCATCAGGCTCAAAAAAGGCAGACCTCTTTTTCCCATTCCATTGCTTGAAGGTCCTGGAGTCCACAGCATTCTCAGGGTCTTCAAACCAGAATTCCTTGGACAAAGGTGGCCTCATGTAAGGTGGCACATGTTCTTCACCCAAGACCAAAACTTTGGCATTGGGCTCCCTTGAACGAATGGCTCTCAGAGCTGCAAAGCTTGCTGTGCCAGCTCCAATTAGCAAGTATGGCACTTTTTCTGGCAAAGGTCTTCCCAGCTTCACTCCAAACCTGGGAAAAAAAAGAATTAAGAGCTCAGTCTTTTGCAAATGGCTTCTGTTTAGACTACATTCTCTCCTCATGGACAAGGGTTACTTTTGTTACAATTGAAAACTAGAAAAGTTCCCTTGTATATAGCAAATTGATATTTTCTTTAATTTCCCTTTGAGAAATTGAATTTTGTTGAGCATATTTTGAGCACAATAATCCATTACAAAAACTGAATTTCATTAAAAAAAACTGAAATGTGATCCAAAATGTACATTCCAACAATGGGGAGACACCCATAGTATTCCACTTGGAACAAATTTTAGTAATTCTTTGAGATTCTATCATTTATGGTTCTGCAGTGGTCTACACTCTTATCAAATATCTCATTAGGTATGTATAGATGTCACTACTTCAAATACTTTCAAAGCTGCAGGGCTGAGTCAAGGTTTTTATAATTGATTCTTCCTTTCATATCACCCTCTTGTGTGTATGAACAGTCATCATGCAACACCATAGTTACACCTATAAACGATCATTCAAATAAAAAGAGTCATCATGAAGTTTTCAATGGTCTAAAAGCTCACTTTGAATGTGGTGCAGCAGGAGTTCTTTCAGGAACATCATACAAAAAAGCACTGCTGGAAGTAGTCACAGCTGGCGGCACACTGGTGACATGTCCATCAAACAATGGCTCCACCACTGCTGAAGACTTGAAGGTTCTCTTGACCACAACATAACCAAGTCCAGCCACTGCACCAAGAGTCACTAGCCCAATGGCAAAGTCAGTGTTGTCATACTTTCTAGCTTCCTGCTGCTCCTGGCTCATGAGCCTCTTTGGAAATTGCAGCCTTGGCAAGTGCTTCAGTCTGGAAACCAGCTTCCATGTTTGTGGCCTCATGTTTGTTAACCTGGAAAAAAGATGGCTGGGAATAAGCTCAAGTATTATTAATTCAAGCAGCATGATGAAGCTCACCATATACAAGCTGGTTAAGTGGAGTTAATCATGCAAGCCCTTCACAAGGGTAGGAATAGCCACAGCAGGGATTTCAGGATAATCAGTAAAATTATTTCCACTCCACTACTAAAGACAGCATTGCCTCACATGCACATTTGTAAAGCACTTTGGAAGTTCCTGGAAAGACATGCATATACAAACATTAGGATTCCTTCATATTTACCATATGTACAGGCACATCAAAATAAGCTATTATTATACAGAGAATAGATTAAATATCATTTAATTTCCTTCAGCGCCACATACTTCGCTTCTCCATTTTGGTAATTATGCAACAAATGATGACAATGGACATGAAAAACATTCCAAACACAATGACTATTAGTTCTATGGGCACTTCTGTACTAGTGCTGTGTGGCACTGAGACACTACTGGAGTTCTTTGGCGAATTTCCTTTTTCCTGCTGCTGGAAACTGTTGAAGACTGGGAGACAAGGTGACGGATTTCGAATGATTGGACTTGGTTGATTGTCAAATCTTTCCTCAGTGTCAAAGTGGATGATTTTTGCTGGAAAACAAAGCACATAAGCAAAGGAGTCCAAAGCAAGGAACATCAGGAACATTTTTGCAAAGTGATCCCATGTCATGTTCTTCTTCTCCACAAACCTGAGGAGATGAAAAAAGGATTTTGCAGATGCATGATTGAGGCTGTGTTAAGTTTATATACAGTGGCCCCCTGCCTAACAGACCTCCCATGCAAGGGATTTTTGCCGAACAGACCAGCTCTGCAAGCAGTTTTACTTCCTGCCCAACAGACAAAATCCGCCAAACAGACTTATTTTGGTTTAAAATTAGCGTTGAAAATTTAAATTTTAAATTTTTTATGTAATTGAATTCATGTATGAAAATTGAAATTTTTAATTTTTTATGTAATTGAATTCATGTAAAGGACTTTTTGTCTAACAGACTCATCCCTTGCATGAATCAAGTCCATTAGACGGGGGTTGACTGTAGAGTCCAACCGAATTAAAAGTACTAAGCCATATAAATATTTGGTACTTTATCTGAAAAGCAACATGCCCCATTTTAACATTTGTATCATCACATAACATAATGAAAAAGTCTGGGAGACATTTTCACAAGATTCAATTTCCCTGATGGGGATAATTGAGCAAAATGTAAATTTAAAATTTGACTTTAATGTGGTTCCAAAAAGTAAAATTTTTATGGTTTTCAAAAATTTATTTTCTTTTAAACACAACTCACCACTCAAATATCCGCAGTGCAACTGAGGGGAATCCTCAGAACTTGGCTGTTATCATCCACAGCAAGCCAAGTTTTCCTTTTTTTGTGATAAACTTTGAAACAACCTTAAGTGTCAAGTCACCAATTTTCTACGTAAACAGGTCAACTTCTTCGAAAAGACACAACCTTTCTGTCAGGTAAAAGGAGAACAGAGAGGTCTACCATCCTGAGAAACACCAACACTTTAGATTTGATGAGGGATGGTGTGTGAACCAAGGCTAGAGTGCAGGATGGTACCTCAGGTTGAGTGTTTATGCTGTTGGTACCACTTGAAAGTGGTACACTAGCCCTGCCTTCTTCCAGGTACAAGTGTTGGCCATGGGCAACTACCACACTGCCTCTCCTAGTCCTACTGGCACTGCCACTCCTGGGTCTACCTCTTGGGATAGTCTCAGGGAAACCATCTTCTTCACCCACAGGCACAGTACCAGGGACACACTTTTCAATCAAGTCACTGAAAACCACAAATCCTTCATCCCTGGCTTCTGGGGCAATTTGATGTCGGCGTTTGGCAACAAATGCTTCATATTGCTTTCTGAAGACCCCACAGTTGGCAAGGATCAAGATGCACAGAGTTGCTATCCCAAATGCAGCTGGCAACACTGTGCTCATGGTCACTCCTGTGGCACTGTCATGGTGACCTGGGGTGTGTTCTTGAAGTTTATTGCCACTGGGTCTAAAGGGTGGTCTGGAAGGGGGTCTCAAAGAGGATTTCACAGCATGTGAGTGTTTGCAGATGTCGCTCACACAGGTTGAATTGGGTGGACAACACTCTTGGTCACTGGTGCAATTTCTCAACCCAAGGTCCTCATGGTTTTGGCACACCTTTTCAGCAGATGCAATTTGTGACACTGAAACTACTGCATGCGCAAATGTGAAAACAGCAAAAATGAACAACTTCTGCACCATCTCATCCTTTCAGTTGACACCTGTCCAAAAAAAAAAATGCTGATGAATTTTCAGGGTATGAATTTTTTTTTAGATGAAATAAAAAAATACACTGGACTCAGGAGAAGGAGATGCTGGTGAGGATTCTTCAAAGAAACCACTGGACCAGGACAAGCTTCAGGGCCAGCAACCAGGAGTTGTTTTCCATGATCTCAAGCAAGACCATAAAAAGTGTCTCCTTGTCTCATCCCATCTCAGGTCTTCCAGACCAGGTTTCATTTAGGAATCTTGTTCCTGGGACATGCGCCGCTCTGGTCACTAAAACTGAAGCCGGGAAAAGGTGTGATCAACAACAAGTTCTTAAAGCATTAGTATTTTTCAGTACTGCCAATAATGTTATGGGTCATAAAAGAACTCCTGATTCTCTTAAAGTTACTTGTATTTAAAAAAAATCATCATTGAAAGCAATTCAATAAGATCTCATTACTCCAAACTCTCACATGGGACCTATATGGAAATATAACAATGAATTTTTAAATTAAGAAGACTCAAATGTTTTGGGAATTCCCTCCCAAAATTTCTTGGAAGTTAGCTGATTTTGCGAATTTAAATTTAAATTCAGTTTAGTTTCAAATTTCCATCAGCATATTTATTTGCTATCAAATAAATTAATTTTAAAATCGGTCTATGAAAAAGAATAGATTTCTATACCATTCAGATAAGTTTAGCCCTATAAATAATTTTGTTATTTATTAAGATAATTTTTATAAAATGCATTTTCTTATGTATAGGAAACCACGAAGGCGGCCTTCAAATAATATGAAAGAAAAGAGCTCCGTTCATATATATTTTTTTCATCACGTGCTTCATTTGAAACCCCGAGGGAAGAAGGAAAAAAACAGGTGAAGCAAATCCACGCGTGATTCCAAAAATTTCGTTGACTGATCAATAAAACTCTATAAATATAAAGCTAAAACTCGTCGTTATATAAGAGAAGATGATGAAGCAAAATACCCGGAAAAAATGGCGGTCAGATGTCAAAAAAAAAAAAAAAACCCACACACACAGAGAAAATAAACCCCCATTGCAACCCTCAGCTTCACATCATCACTTGTTCACAGCGCTTGAAACCCCGGATATATCCCATCCCCGAAAAAAAAAACACTCATACAGATTTTAATTTTTTTTTGTTCCGCTCTTTCCTGGACTCCCAAAAAATTTTGAAAACTGTGTTCAATTGTTCCCCAAACACGCACTTTCTTTTCTTTTTCTTCTCGTGAACTATAATCAAGTCTAGAATAAATTTGGTAAAACGGGAAGGCTGATTGGCACCGTTTTCCCGAGTACAACAGTCGGTCAGTTGGTTGGGGTAGTATTTTCCACAAAAAGAAAAGCACGATTTTTGAGAGAGGTACACTGCTACAGTCGATTTTTTACAGCTCTTTTGAAACCTTTTTTATCTACTCACTTTTACTTTCGAATTTACACAGCAGTCGCAAAATTTTAAGACTGCAAAAATGGCTCTTCACCAGCATATATGTAAGAACAAGTTGAAAGATAATATTTTCCCCTCAAGTTGAGAAAGAACTTTTCAAAATCACTCAGCAAAATATGCTTGAAGTTTTCAGAAATTCAAACACAGCACTTCGAATTAGGAAAAGAAAACACAAAAGAAAAAAAACTCCCTCATCCACCACACATCAGATATCACTCAAGTTATCTCCTCTTCACCAGGAACCAACCAAAAAAATTCCAACTGATGATGGAAAACAAGCTTAGAATTAATGTTCAACTAGTCCACCCAAAAAAAAACTTGGTCTTCCACCAGTCGACCTCGGAAAACCTGTTTTCTTTCTTTTGTACGTTTATATATTAAGGGTGTTGGATATTATTCCGAAGTCTTTTTTTTGGATTGGATGTTATCGTGGAGGACGATATTTCGTCACAGTCCCTCCCTGAGCAAGCTCTTGCGACTGATCCTAGATGTCGCTCCACCAGGAGTCAATGCAGGACCACCAGAAGCACTTCCAGGAGTCACCACTGAAATCAGGGATGGCACTGTCAATAGTGGAGTGGACACACTTAGAGATGAGTCTGCTGAGTCATTATCTGATGAGTTCCCTGTGCCAGTTTCATTCTCCTCCACAATCACTGCTCTCAGTCCTGGTGGTGTTTTCACCAGCCCAGATGGTGCTGAGAATTCTATCAAGCAACTGCCTGATGAATAAACACACACAAAGAAAAACTACATTCAATACATTTTGTAAAAGAAAATGTCAAAAAATTTTCATTGATAAAACTGTTCCACAATCACCACACAGCATACATTGTGCCAAAAATTTGGACAATGCTAGGGTTACTTTGGAAAAATTTCACTTCCTTTAAATTATATTTCAACCTTGTATTTTGGAAGTCTGAAATTATTTCTTGACATACTGAACTCTAAAAAATGCTCTGATTTCTATTGCATTCTTTTTTTTCAAATTGTGAATCAGAGAAAGGTCTCAGATATGATAATTTTGAAAAACTAGAAATGACCAATGAAGGTGCCCAAATAATGTTGAGAAACTTACTGAATTCCCAAGCTATATACAGTATAAATTTTCTTCCATTGCATAGAACTTCTGTACTGTATATCTTATTGTTTTGACTAAAAGTACCCCATTGATATTTTATGCTATGAATACATGAATTTTGGCATGAACTCACCTTGTTCCACATCATCATCACATCCATTTACATCAATGGAGGAAAATGGTGGCAGGCGGATTGTTGGAGGTGGTGTCATACTGGAAGGTGAATTCTGCAGAAAAAAAGGAAAATCTTGATGAAATTGCACTTTTATGCCTATAATAATCAATAAATTTCACCCATCCACAATAAAAACCTTGATCCCAAAATAATCCACAGCTACATATTATAAAGATGTTTGCCACTTACATTATTGTTTTCCAATGCTGAAATATATCAATTTTATCCAGTTTTATATATACAGTATTCAGAAACAGTATTAGATTAAATTGACAAAAACTAGTAAGAAGGAACCATTAAAATGCAACACCTTTTGGTTTTGTCATAACAAAAATATTGAAACACAAAAGTGTTAGGGTTTTCATTCAAGAATGCCAAATATCTCTTCAGGAGTGACACCTGTCAAAACACTCACCAAACTGGTAGCAGACAATCTGTTGCTGGCATTGGATTGAAACATGCTCTCACTGCCTGCCCTGGAGATGATCCCTTCCAGATTGTTGGAAGGATCAGTGTGAACTGAGCTGCAACCAGTACAAGACAAACTGAACAACAGAAAAAGTAATCCCCCCACCACAAAAAAACCAAACCAAACACAAACAAACAGGGGACAACCAAGCATATGCAGGAAAGAAAGAATACCAACCATTAATCACACAATAAGGTGCAAAATCAACACACTGCCCACAAGTGCATGGAACTCATCCTCTCCATATATCTATTTCTAACTATGTATTCATTCTGGCACATGTACAACACACACACATTGGTTCAGATGTGATGAAGCTATTTAAATTGATACAAAATTCCATCCAACTCAATTTAATATACAATATTAGAAGCAGGGGTGCATGACCATCAGTGAAACATATGCTTCCCATTCTAACAATTTTTACCAATTACACACATTATTTACCATTTTTAACTAATAAAACATAACAAATGTTCAAGGTACACCAAGAATTTTGTGCTTCTATTCAACAGGAGGTGACACAAAGACATTCAATACAATTTAGTTCAGTATATGGGAACCAATGGGTGTCAAGCCACATATATGGGGAACACATGATTTTATTACTATTATTGGAAAGGTTCTTCAAGTGTCACATGTTCAAGTTCCACCAGTAATCTTATACTGATTTCAGCATCATAGATCAGTGTTCTCAAACCACGTTTTTTTTTCAAGTCAGCAGAAAACGTTCTTTGGCATAAAGCATGTTTCAAAATTAGCATTGAAATCTCTCATCTTGATCAGAAATTTTGGAAAGACAAAATCAGTTGAAATTATCTAATGAAAAATAAAAGTTGGCCTTTCTCCAAATAGCACTTCAGACAAATTTTCACCTGCTGAAGTCAATTATTTCAATTTTTCATTCTGAGAAACCTTTCTTCAAGCCCAATTTTCAATTTTTTTGCAGATATTTTCCCAAAGTTGCTTCATTGGTTCTCAATTTAATTTTTGCAAGAAGCAGAATATTTTCAAATACTGTACTGTACTTTACCTGCCATTCATAGACAAAGTCACAGTTGTCTTTGAAGCAAAACATGCTCTGAATCTGCTAAACTTTTATGAGACTTTGCATGTCTGCAAAAAATGTTTTTCAAATTTTCCAGTTTTCAGAAAAACTTATATGGAAATTTGTCAATTTTTTGGCCCAAAGAGGTTAGGGAACACTGTTTCAGGTGCTACTGTTTGGATTATCAGAGACTTTCAACATATGACCTACAGTATTTATGAGAATTTTCAATTCAAGAGTGTTTATCTGTCTATATAAGGTCATTCACAGCAACATATATATCCTAATAAATAATTCAGTATCAGCACATCTAACATACAATTTCAAAAATACAAAAAAAGGTTTTACCTGAGAGCCACTTTTTTCCTGAGTCTCATTCCCAGGTCAGAATGGCCCCTCACCATTCCCCTNAAACATAACAAATGTTCAAGGTACACCAAGAATTTTGTGCTTCTATTCAACAGGAGGTGACACAAAGACATTCAATACAATTTAGTTCAGTATATGGGAACCAATGGGTGTCAAGCCACATATATGGAACACACATTTATCACTATTGAAAAGATTCTTCAAATGTTTATGGATTGAAGCACGTCACATGTTCAAGGTCCACCAATAATCTTATACTGATTTCAGCATCATACATCAGTGTTCCCAATCCAACATTTTTTTTTTCAAGTCTGCAAAAAATTTTCTTGAGCAAAAATCATGTTTCAAAATTAGTATTGAAATCTGTCATCTTGATCAGAAATTTTGGAAAGACAAAACCAGTTGAAATTATCTAATGCAAAGTAAAACTTGACCTTTTTCCAAGTAGCACTTCAGACAAATGTTCATCTGCTGAAGTCAATTATTTCATTCTGAGAAACCTTTCTTCAAGCCCAATTTTCTAATTTTTTGCAGATATTTTCCCAAAGTTGCTTCATTGGTTCTCAATTCAATTTTTGCAAGAAGCAGAATATTTTCAAATACTGTACTGTACCTGCCATTCAAAGACAAAGTCACAGTTGTTTTAGAAGCAAAACATGCTTTGAATTTGCTGAAATTTCATGAGACTTAGCATGTCTGCAGAGATTGTTTTGAAAATTTGCCAATTTGCAGAAAAATTTATGGAAATTTGTCAATTTTTTGGCCCATAGAGGTTAGGGAACACTGTTTCAGGTGCTACTGTTTGGATTATCAGAGACTTCCAACATATGACCTACAGTATTTATGAGAATTTTCAATTCAAGAGTGAAATAGACAGATATATTCCAGTAAGTGTCGTTGTATATATAGGATTATTTATTAAGTCATAGTCGTGTAGATTGTATGTTAAAGTTTTTATGTTTTTTTCCAAAATGGACTCTCGGTGAAAAAAGGACAGTCTCATTCCCAGGTCAGAATGGCCCCTCACCATTCCCCTGAGTCTAGGGTTGATCTGCCTCAATGCAGGAGGCAGACTCTTCAGATTGAAGCCAACCACTTTCCCACATTGTCGGTGGTGTCAACCACTTCGTACTTCGTCCCTTCGACAGTTTCTTTGCAGTGTCAACAGACCACTGTGTCCAAGACTAGGACAGGAGAGTAAGTTCGATGGACGAGGATACCTGTGGACACCTTTACAAATGAGTAAAATGAGAGTTCCTCACCCATAGCAGAACAAAAAGCATCTCAGGGGAACATATGGAACATGCAAACCTATTTCTACTGCTCATCATGCATCCATAAAGTACAGACAAAAGACCAGCATTTGCACTTGAATCCATGTTCCTGAAGTTGGGGGTTTGGGTCAATTGGGTGTTTTCAAAATTATGTTTATTATTCATTGGTTGAAAATTCACCCAGTAACATTTCAAAATTTTTTTTTTATTTTATCCCCATATAAGTAGCTTTAAATTCTCCTAGCTTGCAACTTAATCTTTTTATACAGGAATAACAATTTTCAGACACTTAACTTCTCTCTTTCTTCTCATTGATCTGGACATGCTATCATGAAGAGTTTCTTCAATTTAATCTCCATTTGAAATTTACAGGCATCCCAGTATAAATCCCTAAGAAAGCAATTATGTAACAAATACTTTGGGGCTTACTTATTATCCTCATTGCTATTTGCCTAAAAATTGCAGAAACTGCTTTGCTTGAACCTTGGCAATCTGAAAATAATATTTTTCAGAAATAAGGATTCTAAAATGCCAGTGCTGCACTGTTTAATTTTTGTTTGTGAAATATATTATTCTTAATGACTGTATTTTTTAGGTTCATACCATCCTAATAAGGAGCCATCCAGAATTATGAAATTAATTTCTATTGATGTAATTTGGACAAACATTCAAACATGCAGAAGAAAAATGATCTAATTGTGTGTTTATTAACTTTTTAAGTTTTATCATACAGTACCCGTATAAACGGTTTGTCTTCTTTTTCTCCGTGTTTGGACAGAAACCACGTCTCCGGACAACAAGAAGTATCTTCGTCAACCACAATATCTTCGTGAGTCCCCAGCCTGAGGGGTGGGTGGCGGTGGCTTGGGCTCAGGGAATGGCAACACTGATAACCGCTTCCTGTCTTCAAGGTACATCTCTATGAACTGGTCCAACTTCATTTCCAAGTCATCCACCTATACAAAAAAAAATAATATTTCCACACAGTCAACCAACCCAGACTGTCTAATTATTTTCTGGCAGTAATTATGCACACCTGTCTTTCTGTCTTGACAATCCTTGAGGCAAGGGTGAGGTCAGATTCATAAACATCCTTGGCCTTGGAACCAGGTTTCCCAAGGATCACATCCAGTCTGGTTGTTTCCACAGAACATCATGCACATGAGGATGGACAAAACACCTCCATCAGACCAATATAAAAAAGTCCAAAACTTCAAACTTCTCACCATAAAAATAAAATTAGTATGTGTATTCACCAACCAAAGCCATGCAAAGCTGGGAGGGAATATAGTTAAGTTGGCAACTCTGCATGCCCATGCAACTCCAGCACACATCCTCTCATGCAATTTATCTCAGCCACTCAGGGGATGAATGTTAAGAGATAATGAAAAGGCGAGAAAACAAAAACTTGGCAAATGAAATCAGCATCTAGTCAAAAAACTCTCATTTCATATCAATCCTCTTATTCACCCTCAGTCAAAAATAAAACTGAATTGAGAGAGAGAGAAGCACTGAGGGCGACATTTCTGTATATATAATAAGTATAATAATATATATATATATGGGGAAAACAGGATACAAAATAAAGGAATCAATATCAATGAATGAAAAGTGGATATATGAAAAGGGGTACCTGGCATGTAAATGCTTGACGCGATTACAGAGGTCCAAATGACCAACGTATATGACAAGCTAGTGTAGAAACTACAGTTTTCCGAAGTGCCGAAGGGACTTGCTGAAAGACCGATGCTTTTTGAAATAGACCTTTACGGTTTGTAAGTGGTTGTGACATTTGTGTCCCAAAAAAAAGGGGGTAAAGTAGTTCTTCAGACATTGGAAAAATAAAAAATAAACACGTGTACCAAAAAAGGACCCAAAATGACCAATGATGCGACCAACGGAACCCAAATAAGAGACAGACACAGTGCAGGTCATATGCTTTCTTCTTTTTTCCTTTTTTTTTGGTCTTGTGATGATAATGTTGTGTCAAACATTTACCAGGGTCTCTCTTGTCAATTGGCAAACATTCAGGAATTTTGATTCATAAAACAAGAAATACTGAAGCATTCATCATTTGGACCATCACTTGATATGATTGCATTAAGAAACTATTTCTCTTGACAAGTTTGCAAACCATCAACAGCCTCTTGAATGATTTCAGGTTTCTTCTATTTGTAGAAACAAGGTTAAAAGAAATACTCAATTGGTTTCACTTAAAACTCATATATGGAAAATTACTTGAAATGATTGCATGACAATAAACTCCTCTTTTCAATTTGCAAACAAGCAGAAGTCTTCTGAATCCAGAAAATCATTTCAAATTTCAACAGCTCCAGAAATACAAAGCTTCCAGAAAAAAATCCAGTGAAGTTATTTTATTACTCCCCCATTCATCAAATTGACCATAATTTATTCCATGACATAAGTACAGCATTTTTATTTTCAAACCATCAGTATGCATAGTCTTTGAATTTATAAAATAACTAAAGCTTCCAACAATTGCAGAACAAAGAAGTTGGAAGAAAGATTCAAGTTTTCTCTAATAATAAGTTGCCATGCATTTGCAATTATTGGAAATATAGTTTCATAAAATCAATGTTTCTCTTTTAAATTATATACTGTTCGATCACATCTTTGATGTCAAAAGGCTTCACGGCTTCCCTGAACGACTTTCTGGCTACGAAAAACTTTATCTGGAAATGCCAAACATTCACCAACACTGTAAACACAGGGTTTTTTTTTGGGGGGAAAGTAGTTCTTCAAACATTGGAAAAATAAAAAATAAACACGTGTACCAAAAAAGGACCCAAAATGACCAATGATGCGACCAACGGAACCCAAATAAGAGACAGACACAGTGCAGGTCATATGCTTTCTTCTTTTTTCTTTTTTTTTGGTCTTGTGATGATAATGTTGTGTCAAACATTTACCAGGGTCTCTCTTGTCAATTGGCAAACATTCAGTAATTTTGATTCATAAAAAATAAATACTGAATTGGTTATAATTCATCAGCGCTCATCATATGGACCATCACTTGATATGATTGCATTAAGAAACTATTTCTCTTGACAAGTTTGCAAACCATAAACAGCCTCTTGAATGATTTCAAGTTTCTTCTATTTTTATAAACAAGGTTAAAAGAAATACTCAATTGGTTTCACTTAAAACTCATATATGGAAAATTACTTAAGATGCATGATTGCATGACAATAAATTCCTTTTTCCAATTTTCAAACAATCAGAAGTCTTCTGAATGCAAAAAATCATTTCAAATTTCAACAGCTCCAGAAATACAAGGCTTTCAGAAAAAATCCAGTGAAGTTATATTTTATTACTCACCCATTCATCAAATTGACTATAATTTGTTCCATGACACAAGTACAGCATCTTTATTTTCAAACCATCAGTATGCATAGTCTTTGAATTTATAAAATAACTAAAGCTTCCAACAATTGCAGAACAAAGAAGTTGGAAGAAAGATTCAAGTTTTCTCTAATAATAAGTTGCCATGCATTTGCAATTATTGGAAATATAGTTTCATAAAATCAATGTTTCTCTTTTAAATTTTAAAAACATGTTTGACTTCATGAAATAATATCAATTTTCATAAATTTCAGAACAAGAAGGTCAAAAGAGGAATAAAATCCAGTATCTCTGTATGAGGTTTCCATATTTTTGAATCAGAACTTGAAATGGTTCCTTGAAGTATAAGTGAGATAAAATGATGTTTGCCAAATGTATGAGAGACACCATGCAAGCCTAAAGGAGGTCTTCACTCTTCCAAAAAGGTGCAACTTACAAAATGCTGCCTTCAATATATAGGGAGAAGGGGAAAACAAAATGGGAGAACAATAAACAACCAGAGCAGCAAACAACCATCAAAGGGTTGAACAATTTGGCCAAGTGCTTGGAATGGAGTAAGATAAAAGGTGTATATATATATATATATATATGCTAAGACACAAAGGTAAAAATCAAACATTGGGGTTTATATGCTGTAACACAGGTGGGATGATGAGGGAGGGAAATATATGGGGAGGGAGAGTTGGAGGAGTGTCCTAACCTTGACTGGAGGTTTTTAACTCTGGAAACAAGGTCAACGTGGCCAGAAGAGTATTGTTCTATGACGTCCTTGACATCATAAGGCCGCAGGGCTTCCTTAAACTTCCGCTTGGTTACATAGTACCTGATCTGTGATTGTCAAGTTTCATGATGAGCAACATAAAAAGAAAAAAAAATACCCTTGTTCCCTTGACTGCCATATATATATAGAGACTTTGTTGCCCCAAGTCTGAACATAGAACCAGGGCTCACAATTTCAATATCAATTTGTTGAATTGATAGCTCATTTTAAATAATAAAACTTTGACCAAAATTCATCTCTTCATTTTGATCATGCCTAATTTCATTTTTTGTTTAAAGGAAATACAGTCAACCCCCGTCTAACGGACTTGATTTGTGCAAAGGATGAGTCTGTTAGAAAAAAGTCCTTTACACGAATTCAATTACATAAAAATTAAAAATTTCAATTTTCAACACTAATTTTAAACCAAAAGAAGTCCGTTTGGTGGATTTTGTCTGTCGGGCGGGAGGAAAAACTGCTTGCAGAGCTGGTCTGTTTGGCAAAAATCCCTTACACGGGAGGTCTGTTAGGCGGGGGGCCACTGTATATCAGTACACTAAATAAAACTGAAGGGCTTCAGAAAGTGGCTGTCAAGTTTCAGATAAATAGCTCATCATAAATAAGGAAATTATGACCAAAATTCATATCTTTATGCTTATCATGTCTAATTTACTTTTTGTCCAAGAAAGTGTGATTGTATTACTTGCACA